CCCGATTGGAAGGCGTTTGAGGATATGAGGCTCACACCCCAGTTTAGGGGTGCACTGTCTCCAAATTTTCCACTGGCATTTGTCTCCAGAAAATTCCCTTGACCACTATGTTGATGTTGAATCACCTATCTCTGAAGATAGCTGTCTAACTGAAAGAGGTATTATGCTTAACCCATTGTAAACTCTCTCTTGCAGTCAAATAGAGATGTTGTTAGTTAGGTTTTGAAATACAATCCAGTTTGTTTGTATCATCATCATAATTTTTCATTAAAATTTTTATTATTTGTTAAATTGATTTTGATGTTTGACTACATTTTATGCTGTACGTTTTACCAGGATCCATAAGTCCTCCCCTCAGACAAAAAGATATAGAACTCCATTTGGGAGCTTAATGCATAACTTTTAGCTGATGTCAGGAAACCTAGACAATAGATAAGAAATTGTATAATCCGATCCACTGACAACGTGAGCAGGCTCCATGAGTCTGACTCTGTGAATAGATGAACTGAGAAATGGGCTCATCACCATGGATTCTCACATTACATTTTGGTACAATGTTGTCATTGTTTTTACATCATGTGCAAATTTCTTTATATTTTTAGCAATGTCTTTAGTTCTGATCAATCTCAGTATTGTCAAGTCATTGTATTAAGCAAAATTTTATAGGAAATACTTAAGATTGTGAATAGGATATATCAGGTGGCCAAAGCCAAATCTTGTCACAATAGGAGCCAAATATTGCCTATTAGAAATACATGAGAGCCTCATCCTCTATGGCAGGGATCGGCAAACTATGGTCCACCATCTGTTTTCAATCCAGTTTGCAGGAATGATAGGAATTGCTAACTTGGAAGTCCAGTATGATGAAATATTGTCTCAGAAGAAACAATTTCATTCATCACATTAGTAAAATTTTCACCATTCTATAATAAGTTCATTAAAAATGTTTTTATTTGTTTTTAAGTATCAGCAATAATGTGTATAAATATTATGTATGTAAAATATCACTTCCTAATAAAAAATAACTTTTTTTTTGGTTTTTGCTTTATGAGTAGAAGTACAGTACCTATTAAAACATATACCTATTTGTGTTTGCAACCTGGCCCGCCGAACCTGATTTTTTTATGATCTGGTCCTTTCCTAAAAAAGTTTGCTGACTTCTGCTCTATGGGATCATCTATATGTTATGTAATGTTATTTTTATAGTTTTAACTGCTATCTTATTCAGGGCTGTGGAGTCGGAATCGGGAGGAATTTCTGGCCAGAGGAGTCGGAGTCAGAAAAAAGTGTGTCGACTCTGACTCCCGCATTTTAAATTTACTTTAGTTTTTTTATTTAAATGAAAGAAAATTTATTATATATTTATTAATTTTTAAAAATCTTTTTATATTTTGTAACAATTCATTTATTTTAAATACAAAATACATCAATTTAATTTATTAAATATATAGTGTTCTTTGTAGTATTTGTGTTTAGTAGTAAAATTATTTTGACCCAATTGAATTTAAATATTTTGGATCATTCCTTTATTATCCCTGCTCTAAATAAGTACTCTATTTTTCTGAATGAGCCAGACTAATTGATCAGAGTTCATATTTTTCTTTTCTGAACATGGGGCTGAAGTAGCTAGATCGCACACTTTTTATTGAACTAACTATTCTGGAAGGGTAAAATTGGAATGCAATTGCTGTTGAATATATGTAGATGTAGAATTTTATCGCCCACTTTCTCCTACTATTAAATATTTGTTAAAACTTAATTTTTTATACAAATAAATATTTAAAATACTAATTACAAGGACGGTTTTTTCAAGCTCTAATGGTCCATAAAACAAAGACAAGTGTACAGTAAATAGCAAAATGAATTTATTACCAAAAGTTAGCGTTGTTTTGAAGATCGTCATTAATTTATTAGTCTCAAACCACTGCCCTGCCAGCCACATTTTCAGTTCAGGAAAGAGGTGGAAGTCTTCAACACCTTTAAACACGCAGTGTATAGCTCCGATTTAGCGCCTAGCGACTTCCACCTCTTTCCTGAACAGAAAAAGTGGCTAGGAGGACAGAGGTTTGAGACTAATAACAATCTTCAAAACAACGCTGGGGTCCATCTCGAATCATTGTCGGCAACATTCTATGACAAGGGAATGGAAAAACTCGTCCACAGATATAACAAATTCCTCAATCTTCACGATGATTATGTCGAAAAGTAACCATGTCTGTACCTAACTTTTGGTAATAAATTCATTTTGTTATTTACACTTGTTTTTTTATGGACCATCGGAGCTTGAAAAACAGCCTATGTATAAAAGTATTTGGTAAATGCCCGGAGCGCCTTTTACAGTTTATAGTAGGATACCCCTACGAGTGCCTCTGCCCCCCCATAAAATGACTTGGTATTTAAGTTTGTCAGAGTCGGCCTACTAAAATTATCAGGAATCAGAATCAAGTGTTTTTTTACTGACTCCGCATCCCTGATCTTATTCCCTGTAATGCTTCATAATGCTATTGCACGTACCCAATCCAAAAATTACATAATGCATATCCTCAATCTTTTAACTGTATTTCAAAACAATACATTAAGGAACATATTGTTTTGAAATATTGTTAGATATGTCAAAAATGTTCAAATTCAATTGGAACAGTTACTCATGTACATTAAGAAGCTGAGGCTGTCCTAAAACAGGACAAAAACATGTCTTCTTGAAAAATTTAAACACTTGGCTACCTGTTTTAGGTAGTCAAGTGTTAGATCTTTTAGATCTTTTTTTATCCTGTAGACAGTTTTCCTTTAACTTCTATAGTGAACAGACAGACACACACAGGTAATATTTGAATAATACACAGCATGGAATATTGAATGTTACAGTATTTTATTAATTATAAATATTAATTATAGCATACAAAGTAGTGACATAAACAGAATGGCTTGCTATGCAACATTTTGGAGACAAAAATGAATTATTCTGTTATATGAGAGTTGAAATTCTAGCATTGTGTAACTTTTTGTAATCATCTCACTCTCTTGTGACACAGCATAATCATTATTTGTATACTCATCCAGCTATATCTGCATTACATAATTTATGGTCAGCCCCTATTGAAATGGTATATTATATTATGCTAGCAATAGAGCTGGCTAGGTTAAATTTAATATCTACATAAGGGGTAAGTTTGTAATGTTGTAATGAGTTAAATGAGAATAATGATGTCTAACAAAAGTATGAATAACAACATTTCAAACATTTATGTATAACATAATTATTTTACCATAACATTAGCATTATTATTACTATTGTTATTTCTCATATTTAAAGCTTATAAAACAAATTAAAGTAGATTGGATTCAAAAAGTTGAAACTTTAATTAAAAATAAATATACTGTGTCACTATGAACAAATAAGCTTATTCATTTGTTACACATGGATGAAAAAGACAAGTCTGTTATAAAAATACGGTAGCATATCTGTAGCAGTTTTTTAATATTAATATTATTGACCATTTCCTCATGTTCATGTTTGTTACGTTTCAAATATAACAATACAATCATATCTGAAAATAAGTACATAAATAAAATAATTTATTCATTTGTACTTAACGATACAAAAGAATTAAATCTATAGAGATGTCATTTTTGCTAAACAGTGAATGTCATCACAATTTTTAATTGCTAATAATTTACACAGGCCCATTTTTTGGAAATGCTTGAGAAGTGGTTCTGTTATTTGGACAAGGAGCTATTTGTGTTAAGGGCTACAGTGCTCCTTGTATAAAATAAGTCTTTTAGATCTTTTTTTATCCTGTAGACAGTTTTCCTTTAACTTCTATAGTGAACAGACAGACACACACATTTAGAAATGTATATACAGTATAGTTGAACCTGTCTATCTAAAATCTCATGGGAATGAGAAAAAAATTTGAGTTAGACAGGTTTCAAGATATAGAGGTTTGTATGCAGTAAACAGTAAGTTTACTGCATACAGTAGGTTTGATTTGTGATATGGTGTTTTATTAATTAATACAATAGTATGTACTGTACGGTACATACTTGTATTAGTAAAAATAAAACTTTTTTAACATCCATTAAAAGAAATAGTTGGTCAATAATTTCTGATGCCTGACTCAAAAAAGTCAGGCATCAGAAATTATTGACCAACAAGAAATTTTGACTCGACAATTTTTTGAAGGTAAGCAATAGTCATGAATGCATCCTGACTAATTGACTAATATCATTCTGACATTCAAGGAAAGTTCTCAACATTTCAATGGCCTTTGCTGCTCCTTTTGTGGTAATAACTTTAGGTGAATCTATCCAATCCTCTAATTCATTGTTGTCATCAGAAACTTCTTTTGCATTTTCCGTGATTTTTGTAGCTATCAACATTTTTCACATTACCAGAGGATTGTCCACATCCAAAAACTTTCCAAATGAAATGTCTAGATTGTCTATTCTCTGTAACAAATGAATTATTTGCTTTATACAAAATTAATTTTTACTATCTTTGAAAGCCATTTTTTGATGAAGTGTATGTATTATCAATACAACATTTTACTCATCTTTGAAATATAATTCAATGTTTCTTTTGTTATTTTGTTAATGATATTCATAATTTTATTTGAATCAGAATCTGATTGAAATATTGTTATTAAAACTATTTCTTAGCAAGAAAAATTTTATGATCAAATTATTTATATCACTTTTATATAAAAGTATAATAGGTAATGATTGGATTATGGATATTATAAAAGTATATTTTAATAATTAATAAATATTTTAAAGTTTTTATTATTTTTATTTGTAAATAGTAACCTGTTCTAGTAGTCTAGTGTTGTTTCTTTTTTGTCTTTATTCAAAGTCTGTTTTATTGTATACTATAGTTTTTATTAAATCATAAGTTTATTAAATTTCATATAAATTTTCAGCCTTATAAGATATTCTTCTTGTTAATGTTAATGAATATTTGAAAATTTTATAGTGTTTAAATGTTTATTGTTAAATTTCAGTGCTGATTGTCGCCTTTTGGAAGAAAGTGTTCAACAAGTATTAAGGAATTTACTTACTAACAATCTTCAAACAAGAAATTTTAATTCATTAATTAAAGTGTTTCTTCTTCATGCAGCTGAATTGAAAGTATCTACACAGTGTGAGAAGTATGTATACAATATATAATAGTATTAAAACAAATATTTATTAATTATATATCTATATATATATATATATAAATGGACGTGTGTTCCCTATATTTCACTTTTCAGCCAAAACTACACATCACACATGAATGGTGTTTGTATGTGGTAGTAGCTCCAAGTCTCCATTTGTGCATTATGGTGGTTGCGTCTCGATAGCTATAAGGGTGCGGGAGATATTGGGGGCTTAAAGTGGTTGACTTTGAAGATTTTCTATTTCGATTTTAAAAATGTTCGAACCAATTCGAATTCGTTCAATTATAGAATGATTGTAAACGTTCCAGAAAATTGATCAAATTGAAAATAGTTCATTTGACTGGACGTAAAAATTCTCTAATTAGTCTGGAAACGGGGGACCTAATTCTTGAATATGCGGTTGAAAGTGGTTGACTTCGAAGATGTGTAACAGTGGAAGTGTTAACAATAGAAGTGTTGAGTAACAAAGGAAGTGTTAATATAAAGCGGCATGCAAGATTTACAGGCGGTTTTTGCAGGAAATCGAACATATTTTTAGACTCATGTAAAAATTCTCTAATTAGTCTAGAAATGGGGGACCTAATTCTTGCATTCTGTGAAAATGGGTAAGATTGGCTATAATGTAATTATCTTAATCTTCACTATCATTACTTTTTGCCCAGCAAAGCGGGTCTTTGCAGCTAGATTCTAGATTACTTAGAAAAACAGTCTTTTATATATAAAAAAACTATATTACATACAAATAAAAACCCAGCAAAGCAGGTCCTTGCAGCTAGTAAATAAATAAAATTCTTAAATGTACAACTATAACAAATTAAATTTTTGTAATATGAAAAATATAAAATGTAATATTGCATTGCAAATATGACAAAGTGAATATTTTTTAGAAGATTTTATAATAAATGAAAAATAGTTTACTTTTTTTTTTTTTTTAATGATTGGGCTAGATGCTTTACTAGAAACTAGTAAAATATATTATATTTTAACATTTTTGCTTATTGAATATAATTGAAATCTTTTTTCCAATTATATAATTTGTTTCCCTCTTCTCGTTACTTACATAAAATATACTTTAAACAGTTTTTTATTAGGGTGGATCAAATGAAAATGAAACAGTAGCCATTATTTATTTTCAAATGTAATCACCAAAATTCCACAAGTATTTGTCTCACTTTTGCACCAAGTGGTGAATACCTCATTCATAGAAAGAGTTTGGCTGAGATTGAAACCAGTTTTGAACAGTGTCCATGACTTCGCTGTCTGATTGAAAATGTCGACCCCGCAATGCTTTTTTTAGCGGACCAAAGATGTGAAAATCACATGGTGAAAGGTTGGGGTTGTATGGTGGGTGTTCCAACACACTCCACCAAACTTCGCAAGCATACTCGGTGTGCAAGTGGCCGTATGTGGCCGTGCATTGTCATGGAAAAAAGCACTCCAGAGGACAATGAAAACAGTGTATGGAGAACACTGTTTCCATTGTCCTCTGCACTTCACAAACTCCGACACCCTCTGCTGCTAAAAAAATGAATAACACCACATTGCTCTTCTTTAGTCACAAACATTATGCAGACTGATTGCCTGCTGGATGACACTCCTGGCCGACCACCAGCTCATACCATGTGGTTGTGCATGCTTACCAAGAGTGAGTCCATTCCTCAATAAAGTTTCTCCTCTTTCACCTCTTGCTCTACATCTACATACAGTTTTGTTACACTCACATACACCGAATTATGACCACTGTTTCGTTTTCATTTGATCCATCCTTATAATTCGTCTAAATTTTTGTAGTCTTTGTTTGGATCATTTTGTAAATGTTTAAAAAATGGTAAACATTTAGAAATAATATTATCAACTAAAATTTTTATTATTTAAAGATAATGGACAGCTAATGAATATTTAAAATAAAAATATATCTTGCAATACTGTAAGGAAAAAATATTAAATATTTTTGTTTATTAGAATAAAATTAATTCTAGAATTGCATTAAACATTTGCTGTTATTATACTGTAAAAAGAAATAATAATCTATCAATCTCATGACAATATACTTGATTTCCTCAATTCTAAGACAAAATTTTTTTACTCATATTTCTACTTCAAACAAGTAAAATATCTTAAAATTGATAGTGTTTTACATTTGCAGTCTGAAACAACAATCAACATTCATCATGAATAGATCATGTGATGCATTATGTATCATTAATAGATGTTTTCATTGTTAATAAGTGTTTAATGTAAACTTTTTTTTTAATATTTAAAAATGTTTTTGAGATGACATTATAATGCAGCATTAAAACAAAAAGTTATTTTTTTGCCAATTTGAAACTGTGTCATTATATGTTTTTGTTGCTTAAACACTATAACTTGCAACTAATCAAACACTATGCATTCTTTCATCGTTTTATTTATACATGGTGTTTACACATTTCGGGCCTTATGTTGCCTCTTCAGTAAACAAGTGTTAATGTTCTTAAGTTCTGTTAATTTTTTCTCCAAAGCAGCAACATATTTTTCCAGCCTTCAATCTCCCGATACTCTAACTGATACCATTGATTCACATTGTTCTAATAAACGACAGAAATTCACTCTTGTCACTGCTGCTTTGGAGAAAAAATTAACAGAACTTAAGAACATTAACACTTGTTGACTGAAAAGGGGTAACATAAGGCCTGAAACATGTAAACAATGTGTATCAACTAAATAAACAAATAAAAGGATGAAAGGATGCCTAGTGTTCAATTAATTGCACTTTATAGTGCTTAAGCAACAAAAAGTTGTTATATACTGTAGGTAGAAGTATGGAAACAGAACTGTCAAACATTATCTGTTTTATGATATTTGTATTGTTTTTTTTATTTTGTTATTAATTAACAAAACTTAATAGAATTAATTATTTAAATATTTTTTTACTTAAGTAAAAATAAAATTAATATTGATTTTAAACTCATGGTTTCTTAGGAAATATAGAATATATAAAATACATACAATAAATTTAATCGAATTATCTATTTTCATATATTTCAAAAATAATAATAAAAAAGAAGCTTGATGTATTGTAATTTACATGTTAATATAGCATTAAATTTCTCTTTGATTCTAAACAATGATGTATAATCATTCTAAGACAATATAGAACCTATACAATAACTTTATGACAACTGAAGTTTTTTTGATACTTTTAGAATATATATTGAAAGAAAGTATATAATTATGGGAAAAAATTTATACAGTTGACCCCCCCTATAACGCGGGTTTATATAATGTGGATTCGTATATCGCAGCGAAAAAATTGCGACTGTATTCATATAAAGACGCTAAAAGAGACTCGTAAAATGCTGTAAAATGTCATTGCCGACTCATGTCATGAGAGGATTGGTCGAATCTGGACCAATAGTGGACGAGCAGTTGAACTACTTACACACTACGGAGAGTTTAGGCGGGTAAGTTGAATTTACTATCGTCTGTACAGTATATAAATTAGGTACTGTAAGTCTAATACAGTACTGTAATTTTATACATTTCTTGTGAAAAAACATTTCTTATTCAACGGCTATAAAAATTATTTCTATTAATGATGTCTCCAAAGTTCAATGAATTTTAATTTTTCGCAGAAAAATAACTTATCAGAAAACGCGTCCGCTGTTTGGTGCGCTGCTCCACGACGAAAACAAGCTTAAGCAATGGCGTCGTCAAACGGTGCACACTCGGTAAGTAATCCTACAAGTTTTTGTTTATAGCATAGTTTATATGGATTATTCCGAAAAAATTATGTGTGTTTTGGAATTGTTGAGTCAAATTAGTCTAGAATCGATTAATTTTATTGAAGAAAACCTTTCAAACATCCATAGTCTGTAAACTGCACACGTGCTGTGCTGTGATTGGCTCATATATTTAAGGATTCCTACAATGTGAAATTCTTATAAAGTGGAACGTATATACTGCGTTATTAGGGGGTTGACTGTATTTTATTTTCTCATTGTAAAACTTATGCACTTGATCCCTTAGTCAAAGTTTATAGATGAATAATCAAGGATCACCTGCTGGTTTTATATTAATTCTGTCAATACTTAATGACCAAGCAAACATCAAAAGATCTGCTAATTTTACAATTATCAATATATATTCAAAGATATTTCTGGTCATAAGAAAAATTTGAGCTTTCAGTTGGAAAAAATATAAAAATTTACAGAACTTAATTTCTTAAATACTATGTATTCTTAAAATTTATTTCATTTTAATAATAATAATAATAATAATAAGCAAATATAATACACCAAGAGCTTGCAAAGAAACACAAACTGGTAGATATTCACGAACCATACTACAAGTATATTCCACAGACAGTATTAGAAAACAACACGCACAAAATGTACTACGACAGAGCCATAATCACAGATAAAACAATTTACCACAACAGACCAGACATCACACTCATTGACAAGCACAATAAAATCACATACATTATAGACATAGCCATTCCAAACACTCACAATGTACAAAACACATGCACAGAAAAAATTAGCAAGTACACAGAACT